GTTAAGCAATATCTGAGTGTTGTAAGGTATTACTCACATTATGTGAGAAAGCTGTTTTAGTTTGTACAACCATTAACCATGCTGTTTGCTGTATCAGCTTTGAGTGCTCTCTTTTGGCTGTCGATGATGAATGGGTAGAAGAAATATAGGAAAGTTGAAAGTAGAGTCGAAGGAAAAATGGAGAATCTCAGCACACTAGGGCTGCAAAGAAATGGAGATGTAACAGTGGCGCGCTGCTTATGGCGGATTCTTATGCCACTTGAAAATGAACGCAACATCCGGGAGCAGGTGAGTGGATATGATATTGTAACAGAAGATGTGAATACATTGATGAACTGCTTGACCACCAACCAGGAGTCTTTCGTTGAGCGGTGACTTGACTGTTTCAGGTTACGTGTTTCGTTCGGCGCAATCCGATTTACCCCCAACAGATGTCGTTTTTCCAATAAACAACTTCTCAGTTTGTTACTGGAATTCGGGATTTATGACAACAGTAAGTTACACCATGCGCGGTACTTGAGGAGTTGTACGCTTGACAGATCAACCACCAAATAAGTCGGATTCCAATCAAAGCGTCAGCAATAGATACGAACCCATGCGACAACAACCTCAAGTAAACAGCAAGTCCAAAATAAATTCAGGTGGCATGGATAAAAAGACAGTGAAACTATACATAACTACTCGCTAGATGGGAAAGCGTCATTATTTTGGTAAGTACCGCGAAACTCCAAAAAGCTGACCACAATGGTGGTCACAATGTGAGAAAAGAGGCAGTATTTGATGCATCGGACTGGCGCAAAGTAAATCAAGAAAAACAGGAGGGAAGGAGTTATGTGCTCTGGTGGACTATTCCGGTGTTCTTTCTCATATCACTCTTGATCAACTGACATCGACTGGTGGATGTGTTACACATTTGTTGTGAGGAACTCCCGCAAAACACACGCATATCTATGTGAATGCGTGTGAATGGTAGCAAGCATACTAGGTTAACCCGGTAAATGCACACACAGTAGCCTCAACAAAAAAGAGAACACCACTGCTTATGTAGTGCTTTGAATAACATGCACCATCCTCTCCCCACGCCCATAGAGTTTCGAGGGGGTTATCACGTCAGGCTCAATCGTTTTGTAATAGCTTTAGATGAACCAATCTGGATTGAACCGCACTCCGTGAATGCCCAATGCTATCGACCCAGCATGAAAGACATTGTGCGTGATTTGTAAATATGTTGCTAGGAATGATGGTCATTGAAGCCGCTATTGTTGTATATATACATATATATATATATATGTTGTATATATATATATATGTATATATATATATATGTATGTATATATATATATATAACTGTTTCGGTGAAACTTCATCGGGAACAGTATACTTACGGTCTGAAATTTATGATATACTGTACTCAAAACAGATTATCGTGAGTGGCAACTAGCAGTCTTTTTACAAAATACAGATACCAAACTAAATTTGGGCATTTATTCGATTAGGAAGAGGAGATCGACCGTTAAAAAATACACACAAAACTGAAAGATGGAGTAAGAGAGGGAGCCGTGCTCCTGTTCGAACAACAAGTGCAAGCGACGGTATGCACGCGGTCAGAATAGATAACTAGCCGGTCGGGGTGAAACACGAATACGGGAGCAGCACAGTTGGACAAATGTGCAACGCAGTAGGTACAATGAAGGTGAGAGACAGTAGAAGTAGATGCATTACTCCGCATACTGCCTCGTTTGTGGACATTGGAATAGCGGGGAGCCTAGTGTGCGATCGCAACGGGGTCGGCTCGTAGTGAAGGAAACGAGAAAAATAATTAGGAGAACAGCCTGGAAATAAAATGATCAGATGGTAATTGTACTTTACAATGGTTTTGTCTCCAAACACGCAACCCCACTGGACAACAGGGATAGCCGAGTCACACGGGAGTGGTTCAGACGAAAGGATAATGAATAAGTAAGGAAAACCCACCACAAGACATGACGAGATACACAAACAGCGAAAATTAAAAGACAGTCAGCAACAGACAATAAACCAACAGAGCTGCAAAGCAGTAGAGCATAGATGGGATCAACGTGATATTAATTAGTCGTCCTTTCGATTTTTTTATAAAATAAGAATAGTGCTTCAGGTCACACCGCAGCATGATCCGTAGTGAAGGGACGAATGGTCATCCCGGTGATGATGACCTACTGGGATGGCATTACATGCATGCATTACTTGCATTCCATTTTACAACGAAGGTTGGACAAATTTGGTCATTACCACCGTTCAGCCACTATCAAGCCGGAATTAGTGTCCAATCAATGGAAGCTGCGGACTGAATTCACCAACAGATTGAGATTACATAACAGATCATTTTGGCGATAGTCTGCTTTCCGCTGCTGAGTGATTGATTGGTATCTGATGTGTCTCGGTGAGCTCAAAACAGACGATTGATAGAAAGAAGCTTTCCCAGAAGTGAATTCCCATTTGTAAAGAAATGGCGACATTTTTCATATAATTTTAATTTTTTTACTTTCTTTTATTGTGTATATAACGGCTTCTTTTTCAGGAAGGAGGAAGCGGCCAATCATAGGGGTTTTAACACCGACAACGGATAAAATCAGGTAGCGGTGGTGGGCGTTGTAGGATTCGAACGCATGTCCTCAGGGGTGATAATTTGGTGACCTTCACCGCTCGGCCACCATCACCACCACCATCCACCTGGTTTGATGATTTGAGCAAAAATCGAGACTGGGCAGCAACGTTGATGAACTACTGTTAAAAGCATGGCAAACAGGATGAAGTTTGTTAACACTATTAGAGAAATGTTTGTGGTTAAGCTATCAAGAAAAGTGATTATCTTGAAGAACACCGCGCCATGTCACATTTTACACGATGTCCGTTAGCTTCCGGTTGATAAACTAGTTTCTGCGAGAATTTGAAGCCGCAACCTATTGAGCGTCCCAGTATCAAAATAGATGAGAACAAACATGATTCTGTTTGGACTTAGGACGCTCAAGTCAGTAATGTATTCGAGAACAAAGAAGACTGGGGTAAGCAATCCGAAACCGAGAAGGATACATCACTAATTGACCCACATGCTGGCTATTCCGTCGTCATCGATCAAAGCGTGTTTTTCGTAAATAAATATTTTTTTAAACTCACTTTTAAGACAATATTCCATTATTTCAAGGCACACTTTGACAGCAACAAGTGGCTGATTTTTTCTTTCATCTAAGTGACTACTTCAACTGAATGCTTTCGAGGAAAACCCCAATTGTCCATCTACATCAGTAGACCGCCAAACGTGGTCACCGGGGCTTACTTTTAATTTTTTTCAGCCGAATAAGTTCTTGCAACTGCCGCGCTGGAGTTGCGAATAGATCTGTAGAAATATTAGGCGGATATATACCTCGAGCAAGGTATTCTTTTGTCGGTCTCAAAGTCCTTCCCGAATGCTAAATGTTTGCGTTTCTCAATTGGTCGGGGTTCATCAATAATTTTTTTACATATCCTTCAACTCTCAAATAAGTTATCAAACAATCCGTCGGAGCTCGCGTACGTTGCATTTTAGTTGAGCTATGAAGACTGTACCTCACTCAGTGGACGCATCACGGACGTGCTCGCATACAAAAGGCTCGGTTGGCATTTGCCAACTTGAGACAACTGTGACGCCATCGCGACATCCGGCTGCCTGTGAAGGGTCGAGTATATATCGCGACAGTTCGTCCAGTTCTGCTGTACGGAGCAGAAACATGGCCATTACGGAGGCAGGATAGAGATAGACTGTCACTGTTTGAACACCGCTGTCTACGCAGCATTGCACGAATCTGGTGGGGCGACCGGACGAGCAATGCTGAGTGTAGGCGTAGAGTTTTAGGTATTCGCGGTCGCCGAATGGAGCAAGCGGTCGGCCTCCATGGATTACGCTGGTTGGGGCATGTGTTACGCATGTCACCAAATAGATTGCCACGGCGAACGATGTTCGACGGGGCAGATAGTGGGCGGAATAAAGACAAGGGTGGTCAAGACAAGACCTGGCACGAGGGTATGAAAACTTTAACCAGGAAACTCGGTCAGACAGGTCCCGTTAGGCTCCCTGGTTGGGGACCTCGGGATGATGGTCACCGATGGTTAGCTACACTGAGTGATATGGCTGAGTGTCGTAAACAGTGGCGCTCGTGCATCCACTCGTTATTTTTCTAACACCACTCTGCATGTATTTCGTAAACAGCGGCGTCCGTGCATCTTCTCAATTTTTTTGCAACATTAGGCCACTGAAACTCCATTTTCTATTCGACTCTACTTCCAACCTTCTTGCCTCTCTCCTACTGTTCATCCAAATGGACAGCCAAAAGACAGCAACCGGCGCACGAAGGTGCATGGTTAATGGCTGTTGAAACTGAAAACTGAAACTAACATATTTCTGGCTATGTGAGGGTCCATAAAAATGAAGTTCGTTTGCCATCAGCCATGGTGTTCATAAAGGTTGTCACATTTCGCCATTCCTGTTCAATGTCGTCGTAGATGAGATCACACTAAAAACGTTGGCATCAGATGAGCGACTGAAGAAAAGTTCTGCGGCTGAGTACGCCGACGACTCCGTTTGTCTGTGTAAATTTATAGAGGACGCACAAAGTATATTCCACACACTAAATAGCTCCGTTGATCTTTCCGGTGTGCGATTTGTAAACTGATGCTGTATAAGTGGGTGTCGACTAGTTCGGCTTTGAAACCACTTAATCAGGAATCCGGTGAAGTTTATTGGTGTTATTGGACAATCTGAAAGAATCAACAAATTGTGGTCGTCTCGTCTTCCCTCTCCAGTAGTCTTCTTAGCTGCAGAATATACTCCACTTTATTCATACAATATGATGGTTAAGATTACCATACGCGCATGAATAAGAACGGACAAATAAGCGAAGTACACGAATTTACAGGCTCCCTATTTCCACAATAGCCCTTAGAATGAGTTATGGCGTACAAGCATAGCGACAATTAGAACGGTTTACCTCGACTCCTTCTACCTTTAGAACCATGTGCACTTCTTTGGCAGTTCGGCGATTCGCTTTACGTTTCCAAAGGTAGCCATCCTGTCTCCGAGCCAGACCGGATAATTCGCGGCGATAGAACACCAGAGAACCATTGCCTGGGCTAGACGGGGAAAAATTGTGCGCGCAGTGAAAAAAAACGAATAAGGACAGAAACATATCAATATATAATTATTGACTATGTTTCATGTGTCTGATTCAGACTGTCTAGCAAACAAACAATGTTTCTTGGCCATAAACAAGGAAATCGATTCATGATTTAGTCGTGGGCAGAGTGTTGTCTGGGCAAAGGCCGGTGAATTTTCCCCGGGGGATTCACAACCGCAGCCTCCTTTCACTAGTGTCATCAGTATCGTCAACAATAAGTGCTATCGGCAGAACGGATCGCACACAGTTTCCGATCACCAAAAGCGAACAGAGCAATCGACACAAGTGCTATTACCCCCGGTACTATTACGATAGAGAACGGTTTACCAAAAGCAAATCTATGGAATCTTCGTTACAGTCCGCTCGATGAACATTCTGTGAAGTGCGCAGGATGTGTGGGAAAAATAGCATTATTTGGCCTATCATCATCCTCAAATATCGGGGCTCATCCATAAGAACGGACAATGGTCAATTTTATTGGAAAGGCAACAGCGGGCCCAAGCTTAAATGTGAGAAGACAATGGAGAAAGCTAGAGAGAGAGAATTGACAATCCTGATCAGTAAAAAAGAGTCACACTGACACGCACAGAAGGATGCGAATGATTCGTAGTCAGTACGAGCTTCATTGAATCATTGATCAGTACCAGTTGGGACAGGAACACAACCAGCTGTATACGAATCCACAAACTGCGCAACAGAAGTGATCGATGAATAGATTCAGGTGAGACAGGCTGTCTCATTGGATTTAACAGGACAAGAAACCGAACCGGATAAACGCACGGGATAAACGGACAGAAGGCTATGGTACTAGTGGAGGGAATTGTTGCGCAGAGGACATTGTGCACATGTGCATGTGTGAATACGCGCATGCGCGTGCACCTATGCAATTCTGTCAACGTCGTCATCAATCATACAGTACGGTGGTCAAACGACGAAAGCGCAATGGGCACAAACACATAAGTCAACGTGATGAAAGACGAGAACTAGAAAACAGTTGTGATGTAGCAGTTGTTTTGAGAGAGAGAGAGAAACAAAGTACCAACTCAACTGGAATAGGAAGAATTCACTATGTCACAGGATATCACACAAAATTTGTCAGCAAAAAAATACGGAATGGAGACAGATCAGTTAGAAATAAGATACCCAGAGATTGTATGGTTATTCCACCGGTGCACACACAATATTAAAACTTGTTCAGTCCCAGGGAAGCAATCACAAAATAGTACTGATTTGCTCTGTGAAGTGACATGTCACAGGTCTGCAATGGTAATTCTGCTTTGTAACCAGCTCTTATTTTGTTAGCAAATTCAAACCTATTGCTTGTCTCGTTTTAGCTTATATGGGTTTTTAGTTTTCAAGCGACCGAAATCTACGACAGGATCTTTTTCAAACTGATCCGAATTCTCCTAACAGTGCACATTCCTGGGCTTATTGGTATTATGCGTTTACAGACTCAAACCCCTCGGGTATGTTCTTCGTTTTTATCCTGCTGTTCAAAAATTTGTTTTTCGGTGAACCAATTATGGTTCTAACATCAACACTCCTCAATCAATATACACAAAAATCAAAATGCTCGCGGATCACCTTCTGGCAATATCCAGGCAGAATACCCTAAAAAAACTGTAGGTCAATTCATGAACTAGCTCAAAAACCTTAATAGCATCTGCAGTTTCAAAGCGGTCTGCGCAAAACAAAACGAACACGACACTATCCGTGGAGAGTTTCGTCAAACCCTAACGGTTAGTGGCCTATCGGAAATAAAACACCTGATGTAAGTATCGGATGTAACCAATCTAAAGCTATTGATCCGGCTCAAAATTCTCACTTTAATTTACGGCGGCTGACTCTTGTGAGAGAATAAGCCGGCTTCATGGATATTTCATGAAATTTCTTGGGAGTTGGGTGCAGAAAACATCTCTAACCTTTGAACGTCCAAGTGTTAACTGCACGGCAGCAGGAAAGTAGCGCATCATTGCTGGTGCCCCTCTGGGATGGAGCTCATACGCCATTGACAGTTTCTAGCTGAACAGGGGTTCATGTATCCCTGGTGAGTACAGAGTCATTACCTTAACCGTTGACTCGGGTAAGCGACTTCGTCAGCCCAACGGACTAGTAGTGCATTCATTCGGTAGACACCGACTCGCCGGGAGTTGAAACACAGGGGACTACAACACTTAGGAGAGTGTGCTCCGGAATACAAGGTTAACATTAACAATAGAAAGATTTTCCCGGCTTTTATCTGTCTGGAAAAATTACGAAAAGTCAGTTTTGTCTCGCTACTACACAAAGGTACTCCGTACAAAAATATAGGACTGCGCGTTCCCCCTGATTTTTTGCGAAGTAGTGCTGGGACCAGACGTTTTACAATTGCAAAAATCGGCAAAAATACCATTAAAAGGAATCTAGACAGAATTCTCTCCTTGTGGGCACTCTGTTGCTAGCCCCAGAACTCCCTCCCTTTTCGTTTAAATGTGTGGCTCGTTCTAGGGTACTCATTAGGAAAAACTCTATGGAACGTCTTTCCTCTCGACAACATTGCTATTTAAAGAAAAAATATCGATAAGGGGGTCGATCTAAAGCGGTTGCTCCGGACGACTAAGTACGGTTTATCTCTAAATCACAACAAATTTTTTCGCCACTATAGCTCGAGAGACCAGGAGCGTCCCCAGGTAGGAGAGGATCTGTCGTCAATTTGGTGGAAAACCATAAATAAGGTGAGTTTAGGCTCACTCAATAGGCGGTCGCAGATGAACAGCGCCAGAGGTCGGGGATGTGGTAGGCTTTCGCTCCGCCGGCGTTCTCTGTCATGAAACCCATCACATGCCTAAAGATAACCCTGCGCCTGGTAAATGGTAGACAAACACTGAATAAGGCAATCGCTTCGGATTCATAATTAACTTGTCATTCACTTAAACTTACTATCCCCTACGCCACAGTACTACCGACCACGAGCTTCGACGGAACCGCTTTGCCCATCGTCTGAACACAAGGTGTTTGATCACTGAGAATTATATCAGATCTAAGGGCACTGAGCATGGACAATAATAGGTCACTCAGACCTCCTGCAAATTTTTCATTATTTCAGTTAAATGCCAGAAAAAAAAGAAAGTAAAAGTTTAAAGAAATGCCAATTAGCAAGGAAGTGGGTCGGTTTTAGTTGCTGTCTTTAGATCACTCACATGGATGGAGGAGTAGAAAGAGGATTGGAATTCCGGAAGCAGTGCTAACATGGAACTAGAGAGTTCAGGCAGACAACAGGTGAGAGGAAATCGAGTAGATGCAAGATAACTGTTTACGACACCCCGCTTTGTCACTTGGTGTCTCTAAGTCTCGTCTACACTGATTTCGTGATCCCAGTCCCGGAGACAAACGCAACTTACACGTTCAAGTCCTCCAGTCAGAGTTTTCATGTCCTCATGTCAGGTATCAATTTCACTGCCCTTGACTTTATTTCATCCTAGTATCGACACGACAAATACCGCACGCCACTGGGCTCAGTAGCATCAACTACCCGTAGCGAAATATAAACGCCGCTATCGCTAAGCCTTAGCTACTGAGACAACAATGGAACATAGAAACTAGTTAAATGTAGGGCAGATTGTCAGGGTACTACTACTAATGATATTTGTGTTCAGACCCTCAAACACTCTAATATGGTCAAAGGTTGGTGTTTGAGTGATTGAATTTTCAAACTTCTTTAGAATAGCCCACGAATAATCTAGGGCACAATCTCGTTTGGTCGGGTATTACTCACTGTCTTCTGAATGCGGGATTTTGCCGGAAAGAAAGGCGGATATGAGACACTTGTCTTGATGGTTTAGCAACATCTAGCTCGTCTAGTGAGATTGACAAACATTTGCATTTGGTCGATCAATTTCCGCTATTAAGTGCACAAGCGTAGACATCGCTTGTAGAGAAGATAAATGCATTCCTCGTCTTTTAGATCCAGTTGTCACGAGACGAGTTATGCCATAGCGGGATGATGGGACCATTACCACTGAAAAACGGGTGAAAACAACAATAGAAGAGAGGCAAATCACAGAGTGGCGCGACCACCCCAAATGGAAACGAGTTTGGAGGTCGATGAGGATAGCCACAAGCCAACCTTTTCCGAGTATCACTGGGGTAATGGGGATCTGATAGAAGCAGCACCTTTGAAGTGGCTGTCCTTGGGACATCCCGTTTTTTTGGTCTCCATCACTAATTTCACTTCTACCGGTAGCGCCGATAAACCGGGTACTAACCAGCTGATGTGTAATTAGGTAGGGGATAACCGAAGCCAAAAACCTTAACGAGACATAAGAGGAAAGCTACTCCGGAGTGGACCGACGAGATACACTGTCTTATTCAATGACCATCAAGGAAACTCTCCATATTAATCAAACAGCGAATGAGGTTTCAGTGAGACATCGGGAACCGCGCACTAAGACACTGTTGCCTAGCGGTCTTCAGTAGAAGGTACACAAACTAGAGATGCGTCATCGAAAAAAGTCGAGCGACGCTGTGAACGTCTCCCGCGCCAAACTATCACCAAACTTCGTAATCTTTTGTGAAGTCCGTTGATCTCCCTCCGAAACCGAACAGAATTCTCTGTGGTAGAGTAAAATATAACTAAGGCAGTTAGATAGGAAAGGAAACTGGGAGGAAAATGGGCTATATTGACGGCCATCAACAGAAACTTTGGCATTCACGTAACATAGTTATGCGCAAGAGCTAATGCTAACTGTGAATTGACAAATTAGGACACGTTTATTCAATGCTGGAAGAAAAACACCCATCACGAATGAACCGCAATAAAACATACCGAAAGCGAATGGATGGTGATAACCAGTCGTTGTGTAGTGCAGCACCAAGGAGAAGTTCAACGATTTCCTAAAAAATGGAATAATGTGAAAACAAGAAATTTCACAAAACAAGTTGACAAACAACGAGGACGATGAAAGAGAGACGCAGCGACGCAACAGCAATAGCAGCGAACAGTTGTCTGCATTGTGAAGGCAATATAAAAAGCCTGTGTGAAATTGAACCAGAAATATATCGAGGTCAGGACGAGGAACAAACGCCATTAGCACTCCGAAGAGATTCGAACATACAAAATAGTTGATGTATGTACACCGAGAAAGCGGTCCGTATTTTGCGAAACTAAGACGTCTCCATCCCGCACATTTAAACCCAATAAAAGAAAAAAACACAGTAAATCAAGGAAAGCTAAGTGGAAACAATAACGTTTTATTTTGTTAATTTTGATAGCAACAAGTTTCCCAAAAGGGATGAAAAAAACAAAGTATACCAATAGGTTGATACATTGCAACAACACGGTATTTATGACAATGAAGGATAGGGAGAGAGAGAGGAAAATGAATAGGTGTCCGGATAATTCTGAATGAATGCAGTGGAAATGAAACGGAACAACTGTCGCTCCTTGGTTTCGGAATCCCTACGGGGCTCAATCCCGTTTTTGCAACAAGCGTCAATTCATCACACATAATGTGCCTCGATTTAGGCGTCTACTCCTGAAGCGTTTAGAAAAATAAGCAAAACAGTTTTCAAATGCCGCCCCAGCTGCGGTGAGAGGTGCAATCCACCACCGATTCGAGAGACGTTGGGAGCCGTATGCAGTTGTTCAAGTTCCATTTTACATCATCCAAAGTGGCCACCTATTTGGCTTAGCATTCCGATTCGCTTGAAAAATTTCAGTTGCTGATAACTAAGAAAATCTTTGTAATCACCACTCGTGTGTATGAAATTAACAACGCATCGTATCTGAGCTAAAATTCGGCACATGCTTCCTGACAGAAAGAAGTTTCAGAAATGTGCGCTCCTCTAGGCAAAAACAAGTTCGAACAGGTTTGATTATAAGATATGTGATAGAACACAGAGAAAAACATCCCCCAAAACATGTATAATGAAACAAACTTTCCTTATCGTCACAAACAACTTGCATCAACAGCAGATAATTCATTCTATACCTTTTCAACTTCGAGTGAATCCTGTGTAACATCAAGTGAATCCAACCACTCGCAGTCGTCGGAATCCCACAAGATGATTGGTGTTTCCGCCGTCAAATGTCACCGATTGGACCGGGTCTGAATGAACTTACTTCCTCGTAAACAAACAAAAGTACTTTTTTAGTGAGTTACCGAGCTAGATTGAATGTTTCGGTGGGGTGAGGTGGGCCCTTCTCCCCCACACACCCACCCGTTCTACCCGGGAAAGTTATGTTCGTGATCGTTGATCGAGTGTGCGTCATAGGTACAAATGAACGAACCCGGGGCTAATTGACCTCTGTCGATCGAATAAGGAAGCGAATCACGTCAAGATGAGTCGATAAGTCGGTCACCATGTCCGGACGTGAATGTGAGCACGATTCATTGACTAAGTGGCGTCAGTCTAAGCCTTCAATAACCCAATGAGTGAATTCCATTGAGGCCGAGTTTCTCTCGAATAAAACCGATTCCTTTGAATCAAATGTCATTGCTTACATATTTCGGACATTGAAATGCACACTGGACAGTTTCAATTTCACCTGAATAGCAAGATCAAATTCGAACCTATTCACTAGGTAACAGAAATCATATTTTTCTCTGTCATTCCTTGGCTGATTAATACATTCAATCCGTAATGCCAATGGCAATAATCTGTTACCTGCGGTTTCTCCCTTCGCTACTCAGATTCATCGCATAAGTTCTTATCTCTATTGAATCATTGCTCAACCCGTCGCATCTTTTCACATACTGATTACATCTGTGCGATCATTTATAGTTTAATGAATGAGACAGGTGGTGATATGAATGAGTTACAGCTATCCATGATCCCACAAGTGAGGATAACTCTGTACTGAGTGTTCCATGGGGTATTAAGCAGAGATTGGTAAAATATTCTACCCACGGTTGTCTTGATACTGAATGTCGAATAGGAGAAAAGGTTCAGTGGCACCGGGGATGCCACTTTGCAGTATATTTTCCGTATGTGTTACCACGAAAGATTGTATAAACGAGCTACCTATCATACAGGTGAAAAGCAGTTCCAGTTAAAACAACCCAGTCCCCTGGTCAGGGTTTTCATACCCTCCAGCCAGGTCTTGGTTTGAGTGCATGCTCGGACGCGGTTGCATCATTTGTGCGCTCCCGGTTTAAGTGGATTTACTCCGCCATAACACGTCATACAGCGACGAGTTTACGCTTGTTCGACTCAGCTCTGTGAGATCTATCTATCGATATCTCTCTCGGATATAAACTATACCATTCACACCACTGTGCTTTTCCGT